AACCTTGCACAAGCATTTTAAAATACTAGTTGAGCCACGTGCAATGCACGTGTTTTAGTTTAATTGAGTATGTAATAGCGTGGAATGATGGTTAGAAATCCAAATTTTAATAAATTTAGTTCTCTAGTATATAGTATTCATACAAAATTAGACAAAATGAAGATAATAACTAAACATGAAATACATCGATATAACATATGTTAATCTCCAACTTTCATTGGTGGGAGAAATTGTGTACATCATGAAGATTGGAATTTCATCGTTGACAAGCTTGAATATGTACAGGTGATCTATCTGAAGTTCTTTTCTATAATATAAGCTGATGACCGTATAGTTAAATGTTGGATGTTACCATTCCTACTAAGATTTGTTTGAACTGGCCAATTCCAGTGTGAATGATTATGTATTTGGATATTCTGGATAAGTTTTTGTAGATGTAATCGAGCGAACTTCTGGGTACATTCTACAAGATAAATTGATCGAGTTATAAATAGGAAAATTTAGAATGAATGATAAGGCAGGAAGGTAAGAATCATATATTCTAGATAAGATTTAATTTAAAGAGGAGCTTCCAATTCTTCGATAACTATTTCGATGAGCTTGTAACGTCACTTGAAAAATAGGGTTGCTATTAGGTTAAATTCACCAAGAAAAGGCCAAAACTTATACCTCATGCAAGAGGAAAAAGAGTAACTTATGAAGGAGTAAATTTTTTAACCTAATATATTATATTTTACCAATTCAGTTATTGAATACTTTGAGCATAAATGAGAATATAGACAAAGAGAAACAACGTATTTGTTACAGATACTCCTTAGCACATATGTAGGAAATATTCAAAGCATACAAACTTGTAGTTGTTTAATCCAAGAATTAACAAAGTCAAGTATTTTCAATAATAAATTACAAGAGCTGATGGTTTTACTTCATTTATTCCCAACCTTCATTAACATATCTTTACAAGGAGAGAAGAAATGAAAGCATCACAATGACGTTACATCACAACCTATTAGAAAATAGTGAAAGTCATTTTTCGAAAGTTGGGTCAATACCAAGAAATAGACCATTGGAAGCCTCTAAAGGCAATA